TACACAATTCGTCCCTTGCTCAAGTGTCAAATTGCACGTTTAAGCCTTATTTTCAAATATTAACTCGGACCGTCACTGTAATATTTGTTTCTCACTCGGACTATCCCTGACGGGCATAAAATGACTATTTTACCTTTTTATTTCTTTTTTTGATATATTTTTTGATTTGTTTATTATTAACAATTAAAAAGAAAAATAAAAATAAATCCCAACACCACAAACCCACAATCTCTACTCTAACCCCACTTACAACCCTCTATCCTTTCATCTTCACTGTATCTTCTGTTTGTGCTATCAAAGCTAGAGAAAGATGGGTCGTCAGAGATATCATCGTCGTCGTTGGAGCTGCTGGGAGAGAGAAAAAGAAGAGCATCACTTTGTTGGAGATATCTTATCGTTTCCCTTCCTTTTCCCCTTTTCCTTCGGCCTTCCCAAAGCACACCAGATCAACACCGCCTCTGATCCATTCAAATCCCACCACTATCGCAGATCTGTTATTGATAGTTTCCCACCACCATCGCCACACCTCCGATTGGTGAACCTGGAAGGAAAAAGAAGTACACATTATATGGGTTGTTGGACGTTATAGGTAGTGGTTTCCAAATTCATGGCGACAAATTTAAGATTGAGGATTTCCAACGGATGAAGGTGTTTTCCAGCGTTCAAATTGGAGAGGAGGAAGGTTTACGGCGTCTGATGAAACCATTCTGACATCACCAAGAACACACCATCACCGGTGCTTCCCACATACTGAAGAGTCTGCCGTTGTCTCCCTCTTTCTCCCCTACTCTCGAGAACAACCCAAAACCCTAACTAACCAGTGCCTCCTCCGCCCTTCTTCTCAATTTTCTCAAAAATCCAAACCCTAGCTCAGTGTTGGTGACCTAAGCAACCCCATCAATATAGACGACACTGCCCATCTGCCTCCCTGACGCCAGAAACAACCGCGACACAACTGTTACCCTCCTTATCGGGATCCAACATCATAACCGATACTCCATAGTCCTCCTCCTTCGTTCTCAGCGAGACTAACTACCATCATGGCTACTATACATCGTCATCAAACTCCCACCAGAGCACCACCTACTTCTTTTGTATTTGTTAAACTCCATCTTCTTTAGTGCTTGTTGAACCATCAAACGAATTTACATGCTTTCAAATAGATTTGATTTTGAGAATGTGACAGAGGTCGAAGGGAGAATGGGAGTATAAAAGGTGTCTGGTGTAGAAGGTGACGTGTAGGAAGGCATAATAGTTGTGTGAGAGGTGTGTGGGTTTTATTGGTATCAATGGAGGTCGTTTTAGTGGTAGTGATAGGTGGTCGGAGATGATACTAGGTGGTGGTGGTGGATAGCCGACGATTGTATCTCTTTTCTACCTGAAAGTTCAAAAGAGTTGGGTTTGTTTGGGTGGGTCGGGTATAAATGATGGACTATTCAATTATTTATTAATATAAATTGAAAACAAATAATAAGAAAAATAGAAAAGAAACTGAGAAGGGTAAAATAGTCTTTTTATGTCTGTCAGGGACTGTCTAAGTGAAAAAACAATATTACAGAGATATTCCGAATTAATTTTCAAAAATAGGGACTAAACGCGCAACTTCACCTTTCCACAACGCACGAAGTATAAGCATTTTTTTTTTCTCAAATATAATGTATAAATAAATTTCAAAAATGGTCCTTCTGATTTCATTAGGGTAACATTGGTGGCCCCTAACGTTTCAAAATATAACACGTATGGTCCTTTAATTGTTAAAACTAACTTTTAACTATTTATTTTTTAAATGATGATTTTATACAAAAACTTTTTTTGTAACCCTATCTTTTATTAGTATTATTATTATTATTATTATTATTATTATTATTTATTTATTTATTTTTTACAACTACATTGTTGTATTAGATCAAAATTATTTTTTAATAATTTAATAAAAATGGGCTTTTAATAAAAAAAATAAGTTCTTTTTTTTTCTTTTTTTTTTTTTTATAGTTTAATACTTCAATAATTTTTTTTCAAAAAAAGTAGAATACATCAAGCTATTATTATTATTATTTTTTTCATTTCTTATAACACATATGTTATGTTTCATGTGATTTAAGGATTCTCACATTTATTATCGTTAGTAATTCTAAGTTCTGTATTTATCATTATTATTATTTGATTTTTTTTAATTTTTTATATAATTTTAGTTATTTATGATTTTTATAATGCTTTTATTTATTTATTTTGATTCAAGTAAATTAAAAATACAAAAAAAAAACTCAAAAACCAAAGTTTTAATATAATTTAATATATTTATATATTTTAAACTTTTTTTAATTTTTTTTTTAGTTTTTTAATTTTTTCGTTACTTAATTTTTTTTTCATATTTTAATTTTTTCGTTTTATTTTTCAACAATTTGATAATTTTTTTTGACATTTTTTAAAAAGTATAAAATTCTAAATATATTAGAGTATATTATAATTTTGGTGTTTGATTTTTCTTTTTTGTTGTTTTTGGGGTTTCTTTTTTTTTTTTTTTTTTTTTTTTTTTTTTTGTTTTTTTAATTTTGGTAATTTATGGGTTTTCTATTTTTTTTATGTTTTTTTTAGTAAATAAACTAGTTATATTTATAGTTGGAATTGTAGTCTAATTTTTAAATTTTTTTTTGTTCTCTAGTGGCTATTTTATTTATGTTATGATAAATTAAAATTAAAAAAATCAAATGGTTTTTGTATTGAGAATTAATGTTTCAATGTGTGATATTTGCAATTTATAATTATTAAAATAAAATAAGAAAACTACTATTAAGTTTTAGAATGTAACGTTTCTTTTACTCGAACCAAATTAATTTTTTTATAAAAACTATAAATTACCAAAATTATAAAAAAATAGAAAAAAAATTTAAACACCAAAATTTAATATACTCTAATATATTCATATTTTACACTTTTTGAAAAATGTCAAAAACATTATCACGTTGATGAAAAATGAAACAAAAAAAATTAAAATTATGAAAAAAAATACAAAAAAATACGAATAATATTAAAAAAACAAAAACTGTAAAATATATGAATATATTAGATTATATTACATGTTTGGTGTTTGAGTTTTTCTAGTTTTCTCTTTTTAATTTACTTGAATCAAAATAAATAAAAACATTATAAATACCATAAATAACTAAAATTAAAAAAAAATGAAAAAAAGTCAAATAATAATAATGATAACTACAAAACTAAAATTGCTAAGGATAATAAATGTGAAAAAAACCTTGATGTATTCTATGTTTTTTGAAAATAAAAATTTCTTGAAGTATTAAACTATAAAAAAACATATTTTCTATTAAAACCCTTTTAATGCATTAATGTAGCTGTAAAAAATAAAAATAAAAATGAAAAAAGGTAGGGTTAGAAAAAAGGTCCTTGTAGTATTTTATATATTCCAAATTTAGTCAAATGGTAAAATCATCATTTAAAAAAATTAATTGGTTAAAAGTTAGTTTTAATGATTGAGAGACCATACACGTTAAATTTGGAAACATTTTTGAAACATGTTTGGGTTTAGAGGTTGCATAGGGTAATAGTAAACTTATTGGGGATGGGGTTGAGGCAAATTCAAGGATGGATCAAGTTGGGGTTAGTATACTGACATATCCAACGGTCAAACATTTGGACGTGATTTGCCCCGAGCGGTAAATTGAGGATTGTTTAGATTCATTTTTGGAAGAAAAAGGTTTAAAAACTTGTTGAATTGAAAGTGTTGTGTGTGATATATGTGTGAGGTATGGTTTTAATTTATAGTTCAAATTATTAGGAAAAAATAAATAAATAAAGAATTGAAAAAGTGGCCGCTGTCAACAGTCAAATGACTCAAACAATCCAAATCAACCGCAGTAAGATCACCACCCGACACCCGCGGTAAGGATCTCGAATGTGGTAAGGGGCAGTCGGAGTTGCGTTCGCTGCACACTGCGACCCCACATCAGCTATTGCAATATGCGGTAGAATGTGCATCGACCGTCCTCATTGCTTTTATAAAGATCCAAATGAGTTCAAGCCATCCCAAATTAAAACTAGTTCCAGCCGATCCAAAATCAATCCTACTAATGCATAGGATCAAACCCACTCCCCCACAACTCCATATTTTCAATATTAACCCTAATACCTATGCGAAATCCCCAAATTCAATCATTTTTTAAACCAGTTTAAGCTTAATTTTTAAACAAAAAACTATTTATTTAATAGCAAACAATTGTTATTTCAAAACCTCAAGGGATGTCAACAAACGATAATTATAAACATAAATGAAAATAGCCAACATGATAAAGAAATATAATATAAGCAAATATTGCAACTAATTAAACATCAAATATTACATCAAGGTTAGTGTAATGCAAAGAAATGTAAAAAGGTCTATATAACATCCCGCGAGTGGGGGAACTATCTAGAAATTGTCAATGCTAACCATCCCAACCCGAAAATCTCACAAATTCTATCATCATCGTTCATCCATAACATCAATTCAACTCATCCACTCTGATTCAAGCATCATCCCTAACATCTCATAACATGCAATATATCCAACAAGTATATCTAAGCATGCAAACATTTACTTATTAACTTATGTATCTCTCGTTCTTTTCTTCGTTTTCATGTGTTAGCTTAGCTGTAAGCTGTGTGCCTAGAACTATTCACTTCGCAAATGTCTGATTTACAACTTCAGCACTAATCCAAAGCAAATTTCAACACAAACAGTACAAGGCAACCATCATAGACACAGAGGTCCTACTTTTAATCAAAACACTATTTCATGTTCCGAGTTTCACAAAACCAACTAACCCAATCTGATTTCCCTTCTTGAATATTCAACAAAATCAAATACCAATTGAAACTAATTTTGCCAGCTCCAACATTCATTCTAGTAAATTTATAAGCCAAGAAAAAACAGTATCTAATATCGCCATTTTTCAAACAGATCAGGAAAGCCAACCTTATTCTCCAATTGATACTCTATGATGCTACCACGACGCTTTCTTAACTCCGTGCAAAAGACCCCGGGATGCTAAATCACGAAAAACGATACGAGAAACTCGAAACATCTGATAAACGGCACGAGCACGACCAGTAAAAACACACCGATTCATTACCCGAGTGAACGAACTGTTTCTCGGCAAATCAGCCAACTTACAACGATGTTTCTCCCGCACGTCATTTGGAAGATCAGTATCTTTAGACAACGCTTTGTACAGCTTTCTCCTCAATTCGTACTTCTCAGCGAGCAATCTGCGTTTCTGATCTTGTATGTTTCGTTTATCCGACATCTTGGTAGAACTCATGGTAATCTACTTGCTCTTGTTGATCAGAGATTTTTAGACCTGCTCGGCTGCTCGTCGTGATCGGTGATGATGGAGAGGGTGAATTGTTGCCAACCCTAGGATATTTACCGAATAGTAATACAATTACACAACTTCTCCCTAAAGTATTGGTTAATTTTCAGTTTTGGTACACTACTTTGATATTTTATATGGGTAATATTTTGTTAAACCATAGGTTTCCTAGAGTTTATTGTTTTGAGACAAAAGTACTTAAATGGTTCATGTTGTTTATAAAAAATCACAAACTCAGTCCTTACTAGGTTTAATGGTTGTTGTTTAGAAAAATGTTGTCTGAGAAAGTTTACAGACTGAAAAAGAAACCATGTTGTTTGATTGGACATCTAACTGACTGTGCTGAATGATGACAAATAATTATATTACTTACTGTTTTATACTGTGATGAATAAAGTTGCTGAATAATTATAAAAACATACAAATTGTTATACAAAATCAAAATTACACAATAACCATTTAAAAAAAATTTCAAATACAAATTGTCATACAAAATCAAAATTACACAATAATCATTTAAAAAAAATTCAAATTCAAATTGTCATCTAGAATCAAAATTACACAAAATATATGTTAAAATCAGAATTTCTGATTGAAACTTTATATATGAAATGGTCCTCCTAAATCCTATGGTCGAAAATCAGAAGAAAGAAAATAACATGAAACAAATGAAGGTTCATGTCCGGTACTCTCCATCCAGAAGAACCAAATCAGGAAAAAAAAGGAAACGAGATGGTTGCCTGTCAAGTGGAGCTGGTGGTTGCAGCGGCGCTCCAACGAGGGGTGGCTTGCCGGAGACGAAGTATGGAGCTTGGTGACGAGGTGGTGCTGTCTAATGAAGAGCGCAGAAGTGAAGAAGGAAAAATGCAAGGTTTGGGACATAATTGTCTTTCCTACCCATTCAATTAGAGATATATGGTTTTGAGGCTTTGTGAGAAATACTTTTTTTTTGTGCAAATCAAACAGTCTTTTCGGCCCATTCAGCTAGAAAAGTCAGTTTGGACCTGGTAAGATGTATATCAAACGAGGTCTATTTTTTTTTTTGACGAACATGATCCTAGTGTTTTCTAAAACTTGCATGGATGGTGCTGATCCATGTACAAAGACTTTTTTTTTTTACCCCTATTATATTATTTTACCTTTAGTTTTGTTTAAATAGAATTTACAAAAGAAAAAAAAACACCCACCCTACCATCTATTTGTATCACCCGCCCTTACCTTCTTAGGAGGCAACCTCAATATCGACAACATCAAGACCACCACCAACTCCAATCCAGTTCATTGGTTCCATTGTTGCTACCATCTATTTGTATCATCATCTTAAATATCAACATGTGATTAGGATGTAGTTAGGGAGGCTACCAAGATCAAATCACATTAACAAAGTTGAAGGAACCAAAAAACTCCCAGTTCAAAGTCAAACAAAACACATGTGGGATTAGATTTCAATGAAAATAAGAGAAATGGGTGTTGATCTATCGCTAGATTCAGGTTTCACCAAATTTCGACCAAGTTTCTTGTGTACTAAAAATTAGATCGTTCTTTATCAAGCACCATTCTCACTTCTTCCAATAGCAAGGATCCAAGAGGCATTGAGGGTTGATGTTTGTTCTAGAATAAGATATTGCATGTATGTTTTCCCTCTCCCCTATCCCCTAATCGCAGTCCCCTTCAACATATTTCGTTAATATATTTTTCTTTCTCTACCACTCTGTGTGATTGTTGACCTTGATAATCTTATTAGTTATTCTTAATTCAGAGAGCTTGCATAGGGAGGGTTGGGATTTAATTCAACGACACTTATGTAATTTTTACGGTAGGTTAGGGGTGGTGTTGTTGAAGCCACTGATTTTCGTGGTTGAAAAACAGATACATGTGTATAAAAATCAAATCCTTGACGAGGGTTTTTGTAGCAACTAAATTTTGTTCATCGATTTGTGAAATTAAGAATGTAATGGGTCATGGGTGGTTCAAACTAATACACAATAAAAATTGATTTCCAAATGAAATCAAACAAAATCCCAAGAAATTAATTACCAAAAAATCGATTATTAGATGATTGTGTGTTGAAGAATGTATGTTCAACTGACGATGGGAACGAAACAATCAACATCATGTAGGTCTGATGATAGGTGCATTTTATGCACCTATTTTGCATGTTTATTTCCATCCTTTCATAGCATTCTACTTCATAATTCTTGCATTTAGTTAATTATTAGGGTAATTGCATATTTTTTTTAAGAATGTCTAGTACTCCACTATTTTTGATTTATTTTGCAGGCATTATGGAGCATGGAGCATGGAGCATGGAGTTTGGAGCATGAAGAAAAGATGAACCGATCATTCCATGGTAGAAAACATGAAGACATAACCTGAGTCATTGTTGCATTTTCATCATATCAAAGGACTACGTTTGAAATACGGTTCTTGTCACACTGACACGGGTTGTGTTTGTTCTTTATCATCTCATATTTGAGCAACATGACACGTGGTGTAGCTAGACTGAAGATGGAGCCAACAATGAAGACTTATTTGATTTTTAGCAAAAAGCATGGGCCATGCCAAAAACACATGGTCAAGACAAAATAGCCATGCCAAAAACACATGGGCAAAAGGCATGACCATGCCAAAAAACACATGGCCTTATGGCATGCACGTGAACATTAATTAAAACAGGATACGGCGTCATTCTATGGAGATGACAGTTTCTAGAGCAGTTCTGGGAGATCTTGGGCGATTGTGGGAGAATTCTTGGAGCTTTTGAGAATACGTAATCATTGCAAACACTTTTTATTTCATTTTTGTAAGCATTAAGTATTCCAATTCCATCTTTATTATTGTTTGATTTGTTCTTAGCCATGTGTGGCTTAGAAACCCTAGTTTCTATTTCTTGTTCAAAACATGTTGATTGCTTGACTTTGAAGCATGTGATTTGATGTTTGATTTGTGATTCTATTCTAGTGATTATGTTCTTGTTTAAACTATAATCCTTAAATTTGATTTATGTTTGATTGGCCACTTTCATGAATTGAATTTTTGTGTAGTTAATTAACTTTTAGGGCACCTAATCGTTCTACAAAGTTAATGATTGGTAACAAATAATAGGTTTTCTTATTGTAGAACATTTTTCACACTTCTGAGTGTATGAGAAGAAATGGACATTGATGGGAAGCTTGTACAAAACTTAATGCAGTTTTTCAATACAATCTAAGAGCGTGTTTAGGTTGAATTAGTAAAGCTAGGTCTAGTCAAAGAGCGTGTTTTGGCTAGATAATTTGGCAAACGAGAGGTATTAGAGCGTGTTAATATCTTTTAGTACTAACTTAGAATAATAATCACAAATTACATCAAGTCATAATTAGGTTAAATGGTAACATTGAGAACTAGAACTGTAAGCATTTTTACAACTTGTTTACAAATCTATTTCATTTTCTGCATGTTTCAAAGTTGATTATGTCATTCTTCCTCCTCACAACTCACGATGTGTTTTATGTCATTCTTCCTCCTCACAACTCACGATCGTGCACTCTCTCCTCCTAAACATTCATAAACTTTTGACTTTCATCAATCATTCCAACATTAAAGCTCAAAGGTTTGTTGTTTTAAGTTCCTAACTCCATCTTCTCCTTCATCTAGGTAGAATTCCCTCCATGAAAGTGTACAAAATCGAATCTTGCATAAAACCCTAGTTTTTTTTTTCTTTGTAAATTTTGACTTGATTATTGTATTAGGTTTCAAAATTCTTTTGTAGGGTTTCACGAGCAAGCTTGGGGAAGTATTTTGTAAAGAAGAAGGGAAGCTTTTACCTCCGTTTGTGTATTCCACCATTGAAGAGCTCAACTTTTCTTGAGGTTGAAGATGAAGTGAAAAAGTCAAGCACATATCACAATTTCAAGCATTTGAATGGTACATTCCTTCCATATCTAAAGTTTAATGCATGAATCCTAAGATTGTTTGACTAGAATTGTTGAGAATTTGTTCATATGCTCTATATAGTTATACATTTGTGGTCAGTAGATTGCCCTACCTTCTCCGAGCATCGAGGACGATGCTAAATCTTAAGCTTGGGGAGGGGTCTTTGTACATTAGGTTTTAGTTTCAACATGCATGTAAAAAAAAAATTGCTTTTCTTATTTTTATTTTTTTTCTTTTTTTATTTATTTATTTTCTTTTCATGCATTCATTTAAAAGCAAAAAAAAAAAAAAAAAAATCAATCTAAAGAAACCTAATCTTCTTGAATAAGTTAAAGTGGTAAATTAGTCGTGGCTTGAGATTAGAACTTGTTCGTTTTTCATTAAAACTCTTGAAGCAAACCAATCTCACACGAACACGTCTCCCGAAGCTACTCGTGCAAAATAAAAAATGATAAAGTTATCAACACCGCATCATAAAGAGAGATACAGTTTAGCCCTTGGAACACACGATCGGTCTTATGAGTTATTGCTCATTCATGTCCAAACTCCAATTTCAAAGAGTCATAAAATGAATATAAAATTTCAGTGACTCGAATTCTCCAGCGCTCTAAAAAGTCTTTTCTACCTATTCCCTTCTAAATACCCTGCTTAGGGACATTGTTTCCGACTATACTTACGGGTCTTTGCGCGTTTAAATCAGTCCCCCCAAAATAAAAATAAAAAAAAATAAAAAAAAAATAAAAACAAAAAATAAATAAATAAATAAATAAATAAATTAAATAAATAAATAAAAATATTATTAAGTTAATCTGTGACCTTTGGGATTCGAACAAGTAAACTCCGAGGGGTGTTTTACACCTAATTACGTAAAGCAAAATTGTTTAGGACTGATTGGGTTGAAAGTTCGCTACACGGGTTCCATAGAAAGTCATGAACTTAATAATAACAAATAAAGCTAATATGTGGCCTTTGATGTCCGGGCAAGTAAACCCGAGGGATCTCTTTAAATCTAGCACACTAAGGTCATCTGATTT